CAATTTGTATGGAAATGCAAAACACCTCGAATAGCCAAAGGAATCTTGAGAAAGAAGAATGGAACTGGAGGAATCAACCTGCCTGACTTCAGACTATACCACAAAGCCACAGTCATCAAGACAGTATGGTACTGGCACAAAGACAGAAATATAGATCAATGGAACAGAACAGAAAGCCCAGAGATAAATCCACGAACCTATGGTCACCTTATCTTCGACAAAGGAGGCAAGGATATACAGTGGAAAAAAAGACAACCTCTTTAACAAGCGGTGCTGGGAAAACTGGTCAGCCACCTGGAAAAGAATGAAACGAGAACACTGTCTAACACCATACACAGAAATAAACTCAAAATGGATTAAAGATCTAAACGTTAAGACCAGAAACCATAAAACTCCTAGAGGAGAACACAGGCAAAACACTCTCCGACATAAATCACAGCAGGATCCCAGAGTATTAGAAACAAAAGCGAAAATTAACAAATGGGACCTAATGAAACTTAAAAGCTTTTGCACGACAAAGAAACTATAAGCGAGGTGAAAGGACAGCCCTCAGATTGGGAGAAAATAACAGCAAACGAAGCAACACACAAAGGATTAATCTCAAAAATATACAAGCAACTCCTCCAGCTCAACTCCAGAAAATAAATGACCCAATCAAAAAATGGGCCAAAGAGCTAACCAGACATTTCTCCAAGGAAGGCATACAGATGGCTAAAAGACACATGAAAAGATGCTCAACATCACTCATTATCCGAGAAATGCAAATCAAAACCACAATGAGGTACCATTACACGCCAGGCAGGATGGCTGCTATCCAAAAAGTCTACAAGCAATAAATGCTGGAGAGGGTGTGGAGAAAAGGGAACCCTCTTACCCTGTCGGTGGGAATGCAAACTAGTACAGCCGCTATGGAAAACAGTGTGGAGATTTCTTAAACAACTGGAAACAGAACTGCCCTATGATCCAGCAATCCCACTTCTGGGCATACACGCCGAGGAAACCAGATCTGAAAGAGACACGTGCACCCCAATGTTCATCGCAGCACCGTTTATAATAGGCAGGACATGGAAGTAACCTAGATGCCCGTCAGCAGACGAATGGATAAGGCAGCTGTGGTACATATACACCATGGAATCTTACTCAGCCATTAAAAAGAATTCATTTGAATCAGTTCTAAAGAGATGGATGAAACTGGAGCCCGTTATACAGACTGAAGTAAGCCAGAAAGATAAAGACCATTACAGGATACTAACACATATACATGGAATTGAGCAAGATGGTAACCATAACCCTATATGCAAAACAGAAAAAGACACACAGATGTATAGAACAGACTTTTGGACTCTGTGGGAGAAGGCGCGGGTGGGATGTTTCAAGAGAACAGCGTCGAAACACGTATATATAACCTAGGGTGAAAGAGATCACCAGCCCAGGTTGGATGCAGGAGACAAGTGCTCGGACCTGGTGCACTGGGAAGAGCCAAAGGGATCGGGTCGAGACGGAGGTGGGAGGGGGGATCGGGATGGGGAATACATGTAAATCCATGGCTAATTCATGTCAATGTATGACAAAAAAATTTGTAAAGTCATTAGCCTCCAACTAATAAAAATAAATGAAAAAAAAAAAACAAACCAGGGATTCATTGAGCTGCATGGGAGATGAATTCTGTCATTAGAAACTTTGCCACCAGGCTTAAGAAATATATTTAGAACTCATTTCTTTCAGGAAACAGGTTTCAAGATCTCCATAAGAAGTCTTTTATTAAGATAAATCACAGCTTTGTCAGTTTCTCCAGAAGTACCCTCTTTTTAATTCCCAAGGAGAATGGCAATAATAAAACTAAATTAACCGAGTAGGTTATTTTCTCTCTAATGGCCCCTGTCTTGATTAAGAGGATTCCGGTCGACGTATTTCCTGGGCTTCCCTGGTGGCTCAGGTGGTAAAGAATCTGTCTGCAATGCAGGAGACCTGGGTTTCATGCCTGGGTTGAGAAGATCGCCTGGAGAAGGGAATGGCCACCTCTTCCAGTATTCTTGCCTAGAGAATTCCACGGACAGAGGAACTGGGAAGGCCACAGTCCATGGAGTCACAAAGAGTCGGACACAGCTGAGCAACTAATACACATATTTTCTTACCATTTGCTTAGCAGAAGCAATCATTCATAGCATTTTATAGCACTTTCTAAAGAACATTTTGTGCCTTTTTTCTCTTTTGTAAGCTGCACCAGGTCTTGGTTGCCACACATGGGATCTTTCATTGTGGCGTGCAAACTCTTCCTTGCAGTGAATGGGATCTAGTTCACTGGCCAGAGATTGAACCCAGGCCCCTGCATTGGGAGCAGCCACTGGATCGCCAGGGAAGCCCTCTAAAGAACTCTTAAAGTGAAACTTTTTGGATGTTCGCAGCAGCTCTAGGCAGTCCTAGTGATGATACTTGTTCTGCACTCTTGAGCCCGTGACCTCCCTGAGGGACACAGGGGCCAAGCGAGCAGATGCTACCCCAGCGCCAGACCACAGGGCCAGACTGGCAGTGTAAACTCCCTTCCAGTGATGTCCTCTTTTTACTGTTCCTCTGGTCAATTCAGTACTGTTTCCTTGGAGCTTGTGTTTAAAAGGAAATCCTAGATGTGTTCAAACATTACTGCCCACTTTCAGATGGATTGATATCTACCTAGGACTTGGCTATTAAACCCACCTGCCTGAGTACTGTGACTTGATTGGAGTTTTCTTGAAGTCACTCCTGAAGCACTGTGATGGCTTTGTCTAACATTAATAGATTTTTTAAAATGATATGTGTTGGGGAATGGCTATGAAAAAAGGGGAGAATCTGTTGCTACTGCAAACCAATTAAGGAGGCAACTTAAAAAGGAAATCTGAATTGTAACTATGTTTCTATTTCTGTAAAATACTGTCCTTACCTTGCAGTCTGTAGTTGATGTGCCCAGACACAGTAGTGGCTCTCGGGTTGCTCTTCTGCCATCTTCCTGTCTCCTTCAGTCCCTGCATGCGTATAGGAACTTCAGTGAGATAATGGGGCATTTAACACAGATTAATACTCTGTGCAATACTGTATTTAGTGTTTCTACTTTAAAGTTTCTAGGATGTTAATTTACATGCAAATAAAATACATGATAAGAGAGTTCTCTGCCTATTGTGTCTATATGACCTAAAAGTAAATGCAAAATATTTATCCCAGAGGGAAAATAAGTTAGAGCGTCTGTGTTCAAAGATTTTTGAAAGTTCTTATCTCAGGCCGAACCGTTGCTGGTGAACAGTGAAAGTCGCTCTGTCATGTCTGACTCTGCGAACGCATGGACTGTACAGTCCATGGAATTCTCCAGGCCAGAATACTAGAGTGGGTAGCCGTTTCCCTTCTCCAGGGGGTCTTTGCAACCCAGGGATCGAACCCAGGTCTCCTGCACTGCAGGTGGATTCCTCACCAGCTGAGCCACCAGGGAAGCCTGAACAGTTCTTGGCAGTTAAGGATTTAACAACTGCTAGAGTGTAAAGACAAAATAGTAATTCCGCTACATTAAAACACATTTTCTGAAGTGCAAATCTTCTCAATGCAGTTTTAGGGAAGAAGTATTTCCCCCTTATGGAAATATCAGTATGTTAATTCCTAAGAAGTCCTTTCTCGAAAAGTTGCAAAAATTCATATGATGTAGATTAAATGGTGATAAAAATTGAGTTGATCTCAGTGAGGCAGCAGTGAGTGGTGGCGTGAAGTGAGATCTAATTCGCTGCCCAGGAACTGAACCTGGGTAGCCTGAACGAAAACCAGGAATCCTAGCCACCAGACCAGCAAGGGCTAGAGGCTAGAAGCCAAGTTTCCCTGGATCTTTGACCAGTGAAAAATGCATTCATCATGGAGGCAGAATCGCTACATGCAGGTACAACGTTTATTATCAGAGACACAGCACAGCAACACGTGGGAAAGAACACGGAGGAACAGCTGGTCTAGTTACCACAGAAGCAAAGCAGAGACACACACCTGGAGAGAAAGGTTATGGGCGCCCCCTGGTGACAAGGAGCACAATAACCACGAGGTGGTGAAGTCCTTTATATAGGCCAGTTCTTCTGGGTCTTTGTCTTCCTTCCTGCCAAGTTTCTGGTTCCTTTCTTCACATCTGACCTATCCTGGGCCTCTGCCCTGGTGTGCACATACCCCTCAGCCAAGATGGATCTCCAAGTGGAGGCTTCTGGGAGAAGCAAGGCTCATCATGGTCTGGCACTTTCGCGGGACTTTTCACCCACAAGGAGCCTCTCTGCGCGTGTGTAGTGTTTCCCTTCTCCCACAAGGGGGGTGGGGGGAGGGGAGATCTCTTCATCCTTGACTCAAGCAGGATTTTGTCCCTCTTTGCCCTTGTCATGGCTACTAAAGTGTTCATGAGAGACAGACACTGGTTATTTACCCTCTTTCGGTTGTTACTTCCATTTCACAGGGCAAGCAGGACACTGACTGTAAAGGCTCAACTGGAGCCCAACCATCGCTTGCCTCAGGAAATGTAAACAGGCTAGATGTAAATGCCTAACCTGGAGTCCATCTGTCTCCTCCAGCAGCATTATGGGAAGACAAAAGGCGGAAAATTATGCCAATAAGGCACCACATGATGGTGCAAAAAGATGGATATAGACAAGGAAAGAAGGAATAAAAACTAAGCATTATGCTAATGGCAACCATTATGCAAGTTAATGGGGGGTGGGGGGGAACCTAATGGAAAACACTTGCTTTTATGCCATAAACCATCCTTGAATTCAGGTTGAATTGGATTTTTCACGATAAACTTTTCATCACCTCTGCATTGGCTTGTCGTCTACTTTGTGCAAAAGCCTGGAGCTCCTAACTACTAGGGGGTCTCCCATCCAAGTACTAACTAACCCTGCTTAGTTTCCCCGATCAGAAGACATCTGGCCCGTTCAGGGTGGTATGATCTTAGATGGAGGCGGTTGCCGCCAGGTGCCTTTAAAAACCCTGCGCTGCGCCTGCTTTTCGCTCTGATGTGCCGTGTCGAGCCAGCCGGCCGCACCTTTCCACGGGGCGCGCCGGCCAGGGCCGGCAGCCCGGCCGAAGCCTCCCAGTCCCCACACACTGGCAACCCTGGCCAGCAAACCTGGCCCGGCCCGGGGGCCCGGAGTGTTTCCGGGACCCCGAGCGGCCGGTCGGGCGTGCATGCCTGGGCTTGGGGTTGGGGTGAGGGGTGCGGAGGTCTCGGCGCCCTCCCGCCCTGGGCCTCTCCAGGCCCGCCCCCTGTCAGCGCCCCCCCCCCCCGCCCACTCCCGTTCGTGGCTCAGGGCCACGTGGCCCCGGAGGTGTCTGATTCGGGCCCGCCGCGGACCGCGGCCCTCGGTCCTCTGAGCCTCCCTCGGGCATAGGCGGAGCGCAGCCGGGGCCCTGAGAGCCCATCCTGCCCGGCACCTGCCCGGGGCCCAAACCCACTGGGAGCCACCAGCGCGGTCCACCCGAGCGCCTCAGCCCTGCCCCTTCGCCCGACCGCGGCCCCCCTCCTCGCCACGCCACCCGCCAAGCACAGGACCTTCCTGAGGTCCTTAAAATTCTTCCTTCAAGAGTTCTAGGTAAATTTAAGACAGCATCTACTGGATTTTCTCCAAGGGCTAAAAAAACAAACAAACCAACAGTTACCTTGATCCATCTTGCCTTAATGTGAGCTGTAACAGTAACCTCAGAGCTGCTGCACTCAATGATTTGATTCATTCTGTTGTTGAAAAACAGGGATTCTCAATATTGTCAAAATGGCTATAGTACCCAAAGCAATCTACAGATTCAATGCAATCCCTATCAAGCTACCAACGGCAGCTTTCAGAGAACTAGAGCAAATAATTTCACAATTTGTATGGAAATGCAAAACACCTCGAATAGCCAAAGGAATCTTGAGAAAGAAGAATGGAACTGGAGGAATCAACCTGCCTGACTTCAGACTATACCACAAAGCCACAGTCATCAAGACAGTATGGTACTGGCACAAAGACAGAAATATAGATCAATGGAACAGAACAGAAAGCCCAGAGATAAATCCACGAACCTATGGTCACCTTATCTTCGACAAAGGAGGCAAGGATATACAGTGGAAAAAAAGACAACCTCTTTAACAAGCGGTGCTGGGAAAACTGGTCAGCCACCTGGAAAAGAATGAAACGAGAACACTGTCTAACACCATACACAGAAATAAACTCAAAATGGATTAAAGATCTAAACGTTAAGACCAGAAACCATAAAACTCCTAGAGGAGAACACAGGCAAAACACTCTCCGACATAAATCACAGCAGGATCCCAGAGTATTAGAAACAAAAGCGAAAATTAACAAATGGGACCTAATGAAACTTAAAAGCTTTTGCACGACAAAGAAACTATAAGCGAGGTGAAAGGACAGCCCTCAGATTGGGAGAAAATAACAGCAAACGAAGCAACACACAAAGGATTAATCTCAAAAATATACAAGCAACTCCTCCAGCTCAACTCCAGAAAATAAATGACCCAATCAAAAAATGGGCCAAAGAGCTAACCAGACATTTCTCCAAGGAAGGCATACAGATGGCTAAAAGACACATGAAAAGATGCTCAACATCACTCATTATCCGAGAAATGCAAATCAAAACCACAATGAGGTACCATTACACGCCAGGCAGGATGGCTGCTATCCAAAAAGTCTACAAGCAATAAATGCTGGAGAGGGTGTGGAGAAAAGGGAACCCTCTTACCCTGTCGGTGGGAATGCAAACTAGTACAGCCGCTATGGAAAACAGTGTGGAGATTTCTTAAAAAACTGGAAACAGAACTGCCCTATGATCCAGCAATCCCACTTCTGGGCATACACGCCGAGGAAACCAGATCTGAAAGAGACACGTGCACCCCAATGTTCATCGCAGCACCGTTTATAATAGGCAGGACATGGAAGTAACCTAGATGCCCGTCAGCAGACGAATGGATAAGGCAGCTGTGGTACATATACACCATGGAATCTTACTCAGCCATTAAAAAGAATTCATTTGAATCAGTTCTAAAGAGATGGATGAAACTGGAGCCCGTTATACAGACTGAAGTAAGCCAGAAAGATAAAGACCATTACAGGATACTAACACATATACATGGAATTGAGCAAGATGGTAACCATAACCCTATATGCAAAACAGAAAAAGACACACAGATGTATAGAACAGACTTTTGGACTCTGTGGGAGAAGGCGCGGGTGGGATGTTTCAAGAGAACAGCATCGAAACACGTATATATAACCTAGGGTGAAAGAGATCACCAGCCCAGGTTGGATGCAGGAGACAAGTGCTCGGACCTGGTGCACTGGGAAGAGCCAAAGGGATCGGGTCGAGACGGAGGTGGGAGGGGGGATCGGGATGGGGAATACATGTAAATCCATGGCTAATTCATGTCAATGTATGACAAAAAAATTTGTAAAGTCATTAGCCTCCAACTAATAAAAAAAAAAAAAAAACCAGGGATTCATTGAGCTGCATGGGAGATGAATTCTGTCATTAGAAACTTTGCCACCAGGCTTAAGAAATATATTTAGAACTCATTTCTTTCAGGAAACAGGTTTCAAGATCTCCATAAGAAGTCTTTTATTAAGATAAATCACAGCTTTGTCAGTTTCTCCAGAAGTACCCTCTTTTTAATTCCCAAGGAGAATGGCAATAATAAAACTAAATTAACCGAGTAGGTTATTTTCTCTCTAATGGCCCCTGTCTTGATTAAGAGGATTCCGGTCGACGTATTTCCTGGGCTTCCCTGGTGGCTCAGGTGGTAAAGAATCTGTCTGCAATGCAGGAGACCTGGGTTTCACGCCTGGGTTGAGAAGATCGCCTGGAGAAGGGAATGGCCACCTCTTCCAGTATTCTTGCCTAGAGAATTCCACGGACAGAGGAACTGGGAAGGCCACAGTCCATGGAGTCACAAAGAGTCGGACACAGCTGAGCAACTAATACACATATTTTCTTACCATTTGCTTAGCAGAAGCAATCATTCATAGCATTTTATAGCACTTTCTAAAGAACATTTTGTGCCTTTTTTCTCTTTTGTAAGCTGCACCAGGTCTTGGTTGCCACACATGGGATCTTTCATTGTGGCGTGCAAACTCTTCCTTGCAGTGAATGGGATCTAGTTCACTGGCCAGAGATTGAACCCAGGCCCCTGCATTGGGAGCAGCCACTGGATCGCCAGGGAAGCCCTCTAAAGAACTCTTAAAGTGAAACTTTTTGGATGTTCGCAGCAGCTCTGGGCAGTCCTAGTGATGATACTTGTTCTGCACTCTTGAGCCCGTGACCTCCCTGAGGGACACAGGGGCCAAGCGAGCAGATGCTACCCCAGCGCCAGACCACAGGGCCAGACTGGCAGTGTAAACTCCCTTCCAGTGATGTCCTCTTTTTACTGTTCCTCTGGTCAATTCAGTACTGTTTCCTTGGAGCTTGTGTTTAAAAGGAAATCCTAGATGTGTTCAAACATTACTGCCCACTTTCAGATGGATTGATATCTACCTAGGACTTCTCTATTAAACCCACCTGCCTGAGTACTGTGACTTGATTGGAGTTTTCTTGAAGTCACTCCTGAAGCACTGTGATGGCTTTGTCTAACATTAATAGATTTTTTAAAATGATATGTGTTGGGGAATGGCTATGAAAAAAGGGGAGAATCTGTTGCTACTGCAAACCAATTAAGGAGGCAACTTAAAAAGGAAATCTGAATTGTAACTATGTTTCTATTTCTGTAAAATACTGTCCTTACCTTGCAGTCTGTAGTTGATGTGCCCAGACACAGTAGTGGCTCTCGGGTTGCTCTTCTGCCATCTTCCTGTCTCCTTCAGTCCCTGCATGCGTATAGGAACTTCAGTGAGATAATGGGGCATTTAACACAGATTAATACTCTGTGCAATACTGTATTTAGTGTTTCTACTTTAAAGTTTCTAGGATGTTAATTTACATGCAAATAAAATACATGATAAGAGAGTTCTCTGCCTATTGTGTCTATATGACCTAAAAGTAAATGCAAAATATTTATCCCAGAGGGAAAATAAGTTAGAGCGTCTGTGTTCAAAGATTTTTGAAAGTTCTTATCTCAGGCCGAACCGTTGCTGGTGAACAGTGAAAGTCGCTCTGTCATGTCTGACTCTGCGAACGCATGGACTGTACAGTCCATGGAATTCTCCAGGCCAGAATACTAGAGTGGGTAGCCGTTTCCCTTCTCCAGGGGGTCTTTGCAACCCAGGGATCGAACCCAGGTCTCCTGCACTGCAGGTGGATTCCTCACCAGCTGAGCCACCAGGGAAGCCTGAACAGTTCTTGGCAGTTAAGGATTTAACAACTGCTAGAGTGTAAAGACAAAATAGTAATTCCGCTACATTAAAACACATTTTCTGAAGTGCAAATCTTCTCAATGCAGTTTTAGGGAAGAAGTATTTCCCCCTTATGGAAATATCAGTATGTTAATTCCTAAGAAGTCCTTTATCGAAAAGTTGCAAAAATTCATATGATGTAGATTAAATGGTGATAAAAATTGAGTTGATCTCAGTGAGGCAGCAGTGAGTGGTGGCGTGAAGTGAGATCTAATTCGCTGCCCAGGAACTGAACCTGGGTAGCCTGAACGAAAACCAGGAATCCTAGCCACCAGACCAGCAAGGGCTAGAGGCTAGAAGCCAAGTTTCCCTGGATCTTTGACCAGTGAAAAATGCATTCATCATGGAGGCAGAATCGCTACATGCAGGTACAACGTTTATTATCAGAGACACAGCACAGCAACACGTGGGAAAGAACACGGAGGAACAGCTGGTCTAGTTACCACAGAAGCAAAGCAGAGACACACACCTGGAGAGAAAGGTTATGGGCGCCCCCTGGTGACAAGGAGCACAATAACCACGAGGTGGTGAAGTCCTTTATATAGGCCAGTTCTTCTGGGTCTTTGTCTTCCTTCCTGCCAAGTTTCTGGTTTCTTTCTTCACATCTGACCTATCCTGGGCCTCTGCCCTGGTGTGCACATACCCCTCAGCCAAGATGGATCTCCAAGTGGAGGCTTCTGGGAGAAGCAAGGCTCATCATGGTCTGGCACTTTCGCGGGACTTTTCACCCACAAGGAGCCTCTCTGCGCATGTGTAGTGTTTCCCTTCTCCCACAAGGGGGGTGGGGGGAGGGGAGATCTCTTCATCCTTGACTCAAGCAGGGTTTTGTCCCTCTTTGCCCTTGTCATGGCTACTAAAGTGTTCATGAGAGACAGACACTGGTTATTTACCCTCTTTCGGTTGTTACTTCCATTTCACAGGGCAAGCAGGACACTGACTGTAAAGGCTCAACTGGAGCCCAACCATCGCTTGCCTCAGGAAATGTAAACAGGCTAGATGTAAATGCCTAACCTGGA